CTCCTCTCTCCCTCCAACCCCACGGCTCAGTTGACAACCGGAAGTTGCCTTTTATTTTGCTTCTGATCCCTCCCTTGTACCTGTCCCCTCCCCTTCATTTCAACTGCCACAACCTCAGCTCAGCCCACACTGCCTGTCACAAACTATCCTGAGAGCCGCACGGAAAGAGTGGTCAAATCAGAGGAAAAGGTCAGCCTTCCCTTGATCAATTTTGTCCAGGTAAAACATTATTAATTCAAATGCTTCATTTCACAGAATGACCCTGGGGATTTATCAACGTCCTCGCCACCCAGAATATGCTCTTATCCTCCAGGGAAACACTGATCAAATCCATATTAAATAGCTGAACATTATACCCTAACAGGGGATTATACTCTCCCCCATGAGGATACTTGGATTCCATTACAAATAAACTACAGCCATTCAGTCTTACCATGGACAGGTAGTTTCTGCTTCCCCTCATGGTTACACGAAAACTCTACTATTAAGTCACAGCCTAGAGCAGGGGTGGGAACCTTTTCATGTTAGAAGGCCGCGTTAATTTAGCTATAACCAAATAAGGCCGCATTCAAGAAACATCAATTAGATATACTTAAAAATGTACATTATTTTGTAAAAATCTAACTACTATGTACTTAATGATTTCAAAAAATTAAAGCTATTTGTTAATTTTAAAGTTAACTAATCTTTTAATGACTTCGTTGTGTCTGCTTTTTGTTGGAAAGCATTTGAACATTTGGTTGCAGCATGGAGGTCCTCTAGTTTTAGTTGAACCTCTAGATGGGTATCAGTCATTTGTGATCTTAAGGGCGTCTTGACTTGGGTTAGGTAGGAGAAAGTAGATTTGCAGCAATAAGTGGTTGATAAGCAAGAAAGCATTTTGGGGACATGTTGCCGAAGGTGTGGGTATTCTACTGCATTTTTCCATGTTTCAATTGAATCTTTCTTAGCATCAAACAATGACTTTAAAATGTCATCTACTGAGAGCTCAATCATTTCCATCTGTAGTTCTTTAGGTGCCTTGGTGATATCAACTAGGTGAGGCTGAAATGCTAATTTAAGTGTGATGTCATGATTCTCAAAGTCAGTGAAACTTTCATTGTATGCTCCAATTAATAGGTCTATAACAGCTGCAAATTCTTCAAATGATTCACATATATCATGCTGTTCATCAATGACCTTTGCTAACTCACATATGTTCATCTGAAATTTCCTTTTGAAGAAGAAGTGTTTTGAAAAAAGATAGCTTTTTTTCAAAATGCTTGCATTTTTTGCCACATATCATATATAGACTTAGTTTTATCTCACAAAGAAATATTCAGGTCATTTTGATTCGACATGGTATCACACAGAAATGCTGCATTCCTATAGAAATCTTCTTTCAATAATTCACATTGCTGATTCTGTTCTTCATAAAATTTAACTATCTGTTCTCACAGAGATCAAATTTTGGTTAACATCTGTCCCTGTGATAGCCAATGCACTTTAGAATGATATGGCAAATCCACACTGAACACCTCATCATTCAACTTTAGCATGTTACAAAACTGACGATGCCGTATTGCATTTGCACAAATACAGTTAACAATACTAAATAACTTTTTGCAAAGTGTCACTTAAAACAGTAGCTTTAGCACAGGGATTTTGCTGATGCAAGATAAAATGAAAAGAAATAAGAGCATCTGGATCTGTTAATACTTTTTTTTAATCTATGTAATAAACCCTTCATGTTTTCCTGTCATGGAAGGTGCACCATCTGTACATACACCATTTGTTAAAATAAATTTACCAAATTAAGTCCAACTTCACATTTATATCTAAAGTTGTTGAAAATATCTATTCCTCATATTCTTTTCACAGGAGTGCCCAAAGTGAGTAACTCTTTGTAGCGAAGAAAATACTCTGTTATGACCCAAATGAAGAATAAAACCTGTGCCAAGTTAGTATCAGTTGATTCATCCAAAACAATTGAATAACGTACATATTTTCCTTTTGAAGTACTGCATGAAGCTGTTCTGCTAAGTTGAAGGCTAATTCATGCTGCCAATCAATTATGGTTTCCCTTGAAAGAGGCAGTTGTTTGTACTTTGAAATGTTTTTGGGGTCTAAGCATCCTACAACTTCAACAATGCATTTTTTCACAATTTCTACATCACTAAATGGCTTCCCTTTTTTCCCCCAAGCATATAAGCTACTTTACAAGTTGCTTCCGTGGCATCATTTCCAGGTCTTATTGTTGCTTGAAAGAATTTGCTTTGCTTTTGATTTTCATCTTTTAATTTCTGCAACACCACCTTTCGTGCCTCTCCCTCTAATTTAAAATACTTGTGGTCCTCATGAATGTTATAATGCTGATGAGCACCGAATTTCTTTAATGCTGATTACAGTATCACAAAGCAAGCAAATCATCTTATCTTTAGCAGAAACAAGATAATATAGCAATTCCCAATCCTCATTAAAAAATCTGTTTTCTTCTTTCAGCCTTCTCTTGTTCTTCTTTGACATGATGGCTGTTAAG